TTACATTTTATTTGTATCCTGAGCCGTGGCCGTATGTTTACTGTCATCGAATATAGAAGGTAATCTATCAAACAACAAAGCGAAACAAACAATAGTTCTTATGCCTTTTAAACTGTGGTGACCTCGCTCTGATAATTACTCACCAGTCCCTTTGTCATCAGATGTAGATGACAGGACTCTGGAGTAAGAGTTGGATTCTGTCTGTATTGGTTTACATATGCAGTACTCTACCACCTGTCCAAGTTTTCCTCGACATACTAAGGATAAATCAGTTTATTTTGAATAATGTCATCACCAGAATTAGAGTTTTAGGGTTTGAAACCTGGCATTTTGTTAAGTGGATTTCTGGGTTAATATTTTTGACACTTTAATTACAGACTGAGGTAAATCATTCATTAGTCACTTGATTATTATAGAGATCTTAAAACTAGGCTTTTATTATCTGTAATTTTCTACAGTTTAGAGACTTCAAATATTTGTATCTGTAACTTAGTTTCTTCCTCTCCTGCTTTATGGACATCAACAATTCATTTTCTCTGTATTTATGTTGGGTTCGATTGGTGCAGTGATTCATGTAGAAGGTTCTGGGTTCGATTCCACCCAATCCCCAACTGCGAGTTCGCTTGGGTCGCAAGGACAAACTGTAAATTATTATATTTTCTGTATTCTGTTTCTGTATTTTACTCAGATTCTCCTAAAAGTTCTCTTGAAAAAAAATGAAAGGCGTAAAATTGACAAATTATGAATCACTTTGAAGTGGTTTTTGGACCTGATGCTGTATTTTACAGGTTGCCCACAGAACTTAGCTGCAGTATACAATGCAGTATGCTGTGTACTGTAATACTGCATAGGCTTCTGCATAGGAACTGTAAAAGATACATAACACCACTGCTCCAGAACACACATGCAGTATACAGTATCATTCTTTCATCAGAGCCAATCAAATTTGTTTCCTGTGGCAACAGGTGTGACCTTTACCCTGCATGTGTCCAATTCAAATGCCAGATCAGTGGACCAGGAAAATCAAAACACTCGAGTGCTTCTGGCATTTCCAGAATTGCCTCTGTCTCTCTGCTTTATTCTCTCTGCTTTGTTTGTGTCCTCATAGAAGAAACAAGCTGTGTCATACCCAGATGTGACAGCTGGTGGCGTTCTCTCAGAATTCTCACACTGTGAGTATGAGTCAGTTGTCTCTTTATACTTTTTCTTCTGGTAAAAGTTTGTCATTAATCTCCTGTGGCCTCTCAGCGACCGAGGGCCCAGCGAGGCTACGCTGACGCTGGCCTGAGCAAAGCTGCCTGGCTCAACGGAGTCATGTGGAACAAACCCGAACAGGTGGAGAGAGGAGATAGAGTCCAGGACAGAGGACAGACGGGGTTGATCAGTATGTCAGGATACTGCAAGGTAGGAAATAAATTCTGTGCTCGCTGAAATATTTTTTCAGGATCAAGAGGTGTTCAGTGATTTCAAAGCAGAGTTATGTTGCTGCAACTTTTTGAAAGTCTTTTGGTCTGTGCTTTTTTTAAAAAAATGAGCTTTCTGACTTCACTTATCGTCTAGCAAAAGTCTAACCTTTAGTTAGACCTTTAGTTAAACTTTGGTGTTTTTTTTATGTCACAACATAAGCTGTAGCTTAGGTTCATTTGTAAACGATGGGCTAATTAAGTTAGCTCAGGACTAATAAAGTTAGCACAAAATATTTGTTACCATTTTGATCTATTCTTCTGGCTAACCTTTCACTATATAAATGTTTTAGACTTTAGGGTTTGTATAACTTCAGTTTTCGGCCATATTTAATGTATCATTTATTTTTAGATATTTATTTCAGCTTTCAACTGTCAAAGTCAACTTTGACAATTTCAAGACCAGTTATTTTTTACCCTGGAAAATAAAATGTCTCCAAGGAAACAGACGTTCTTTGAAAAGGCAAGAAAAATGGATGGCAACAACATCAAGCATTGGGGTAAAAATGGCCCCTATTGACGTGTGAGGCCGCCTGTGTTCTTTTTTTTTTTTTTTTTCTTGCTTGACCGTAATAAGTGACTTCACAGTATTGGCTATTAAGTGCAGACAGACACATGATGTGAAAGGAACAAGTGCGCAGACCTGGAGGTAGACGGGTAGACCGCCTGCTGAGTTTGTGAGCAGTTCCTGTAGAGATTGACAGTTTCTATGTACCAGCCCACTTACACCTCCTTCCAAGAATCCATTCAGACGTCATCAGGAAAGATTTCACAGCACGGTGATGAAACACTCTCCTTCCGCTGCATTATTGATATATAATTACGGCGTCACCACCTGTCTGCAGGTACATCTGTCCATCTGGACATCAGAAAGGGTAAACAAGCTCTGCGACTCTTGGGCAGCACGGTTTTATTCACTCCAGGGTACTTCTTGTCAAAGTTCCTGTTCCTCACACATTTTTGGGGGGTCGACAGAGATGCAGAGCTGCAGTCCCTTTAATGAGAGCAAAACAGACACATTAACCTTTTCATAGACTCTAGCCTGTTCCTGTGTTCCTGGCGGCTGAGCTGTCACACCGCTGTATCCTTCTCATTATTTCTGTAAAAAGCAGTTGTTAAGAGTGTGAACCAGGTGTCTTTCCTGGTTTTGTGAAATCCAGTAGGTGATAGGGTCAGCATTTCAATACATTTTTATTTTAAGGAAGTACATTCAGACCTCCTTTAGTTGTTATTTATAGAAGGCTTTTACAAAAAGGCCCAAGAGGCAGTTGACCACTCGGTGTGGCTGTGTGCTAACTGTCACGCTGTAGTGTCTCCACTGTCTCTGACTATCACCAGGTATTTAGTTCAACAGTGGCTTCAGCTCAGGACACTTCTGTTATTGACTCTCTGATAAAGCACTGCAGGGAGACGATCAATTTAAAACCCAACATCCTCAGCGAGACAGATCCGTCACAGATCCGAGTTTCATGTTTAACTGAAAGTGGTCCAGCTCAGGTTATTACGGTGTGGCTGTGAGACAGTGCTTTTTTCCCCCTCACCGTGCCAATCAATGAAGTCAGTGGGACCTTTTCTATTTTAGATAAACAAATGAGATTGTTGCCATAGCAAAGTTCCCAGTGTCACTCTAACTACAAAAAAAGCAAAATAGATGAAAGAAAGGCTGTTGTAAGTTAAATTAGTCCACACAGAACCACAGAACACAGCTTCTCCACGGTTCATTGTCTGCGCAGCTGCATGTGATTTTCAAATAAGCCTTATTAGAAATAATGGCTGACATAGAGAAGTGTGACAGTGTGATTAAAAACAACTGTAATAAACCCTCGTTCAACCTATGGTGATGAATGAGAAGCCACGGGGAAAATATCCGATAATTATCTGATACCTGACGTGTCCTCGGATGAAAACATTCTGTTCGTGCCGTTGACGAATGAAGGATTAAGGTGCGAATTAAGAAATAAATTATATAAATATAATAACCAGGTTAATGCTGTGACAAGGGAGCGTCACTGTCAACGAACAGCACATTTCTTCAGTGTGGCGGAGAAAGGAAAAGAAAAAAAAAATACACCTGTGGATCCCTTTCTTTCCGTGTATGTGTCTGTGTGTGCGCGCGTGACCAGTGTGTATATGTCTGTGCATGTGAGCCCGCGCGGGCGCGCCTCAAGCGCACAAAAAGCCACAGGTTGATCCTATTGGTCAGCTGCTGACGCGTGTGGTCTATAAAACGCACCACTGGGTTCGCGGAACCAAGACAGTGTGAAGGCGCAGAGAATCCAACAAGAGCAGCAAATGTTGTTTTATTTTTTGTTTTGTTTTGTTTGTAATCCAAGGAGAGAATTCCCTTGGGCGTCACTGACCTGGAGCCGTGTGTTCCTGTCTTCAGCACCGTAAGTGCGTCCATATCGTGTTTTGTCACATCTTCATGTCGATATGACGTTAATTTACGTTAATTACTTTGTAATTGGCAGACACGGAAAGCTTTTACGCACCAGTTGAATCGAGTTTTGTTCAGTGCCTTTTTTAAATGCTTCAGCGACTTTATTCAAGAGTGATTACGAGTGATTTGTGATTTAAGATGTATGAAGTAGAAGAGAGAATGGGAAAGTAAAGTACAGTACACTTGATATAAAGAGTAGCGCTAGTAGTGTTATTAGGACGACTTTATAATTTGTGTTAAATATTTTAAAAGAAAGAAAGAAAAAACATGACCGGATTTTTAAGATGATTTATAAACGTCACTCAAGTCACTCAAACGTAAACGTTCACTTGGAGCCAGCGCAGTCTTCCAGTCTGTCTGTCAATGCTTTAATGCGGTTAATTCAGCTTGATTTACAAACTTGCAACACTTTAATTACTTCACATAAAATGTAATGACTCTATTAAATCAACTTCATTTCACCTTTATGAGAGCTGTGTTCTCCAGAGCCTCTGGTCTGAGGGGATCAATCATTTACCTCCTGGTTCTGTTACTGCTGTGGATGCAATAATTCTGGTTTATTCATTAAAAAAATACGTGGACTATAATTATAGCCTGTGTTGTGTGATAAGAGCTACCCTCCCACCCTCCCCCTCAAACTCACCCAGTGCTGTATGAAGCTGGATTTCTCTGTCTCTAGTTGTTTATGTCTCTTCCCACCTGTGGTTTTAATTGCAGAAACACTTGACCTCGCGTAGTCCGAACACCGGCACATCTCTAACTCCGGTGGGACAATGTGGGTTCTGGATAAGATTCGTGGGACAGTGGAGACTAGTGTGTTTCGACAGGGAGACAATGGAGACAAGAAAGGCGTCACCCCAGCCTACAGTAATGTCCTCACCCCTGACAAGATCCCAGACTTTTTCATCCCTCCCAAACTGATCAACTGTCCCCCAGAGCCTGAGATTCTCCACGTGAAGTCCAAGGATGTGGTCCAGCCATCACCCTCGGAGCAGAACAGCCGCAGTGGGAAGAAGAGCAGCAGCCAGAGGAGTCCTCGTCTGGTGGCTAAAATTGCAGGAGACACCAAGAACTTGCTGAGAGCAGCAAACCGTCACATCATACAAATAGAGAGTGCCGATGATGTCGCGGCCGGGGACACCAACGCAGACCCTCAGTCACAGACGGCCATGTCCTTACCGTACATTCCCAAGACTCAGACATCGTACGGCTTCACAACCTTAAAGGAGAGCCCACACACTCGCCGAAAGGAGTCGTTATTTCACTGTGAGCTCACCAGTCCCATGACCTCCCCGAACGCACAGAGGAAGACCCAGGGGAGAAGCGGCGAGACAGGAAACCACCTGACTCCCGCTGATGTCAACACCTCTCACATGAACCCGTATCGATATTTCAGCGGTGGAGAGAGTGACACCTGCTCCTCAGCTGAGTCGTCTCCTTTCAGTTCTCCACTGCTCTCCCGCTCTGCGTCTTTGCTCAAGATCTTCACTCAAGAGACAACGGCCAAGGTGGTGAAAGCCAAGCGAACGTTCGCCCGCCACAGCTCCCTGTCCACTGACGAGTGCAGCTCTGCAGAGCCCAGCCCCAACATCCAGCGGCGCCTCCACATTCCTTCCTTCCATTACAGCGCCACCCCTGCTGACCACAGCCTCCAGCAGGAGCACACCATCAACCTGCACAAGGGTGGGGCCGTCAGAATCAATGCAAACTACGACTCCAGCACTTCCCGCCTGCTGATCCGTGTTCTGGCGACAGAGAATCTTTACGACAAGCACTTTGATGTGAAGAGCATCAACTGCTGTGTGTCCGTGTACCTGAACCCGGGCAAGCTGCAAAAGCAGAGAAGCAACATCATCAAAAACAGCCGCAACCCAGTCTTCAACGAGGACTTCTTCTTTGACTCCATCACCTCGGCGCAGGTAAAGAATCTGTCAGTGAAGTTCAAAGTGGTGAACAAAGGCACCAGCCTCAAGAGGAACACGTTGCTGGGAGAGAGAGAGGTGCCGCTAATGAAGCTGCTGCCTGGGCTTTAAAACAACTGAAGTCAAGTGATGGAACTGATTGAACCTCATATTAGATGTTTGCACAACCTGCTCTTTATAATGTTCAAGATTTACCCAGTCTTTAAAGATGAGACGATATTCACACACATAATAGAAGAAGAAAAAAGTGGAACAAAAAATGATTTGTCTTAGTGTAGGTTCTCCTTGGTTCAAACATTGAACTCCTACTGAGGCAAACTCAGATCTTTTTTTTTTTCAGACACCCGCCGACCACTGCTCTCACCCAAAGCTAGTTCAAAGGTCGTAGTACACCTGTGAAGCAGCCTGTCTCCGTGTGCTCATTGTGCTGTGTGCTATGGTTATTCATGTTTGTCCAGAGCAGCAGAGGATGGCAGTCTGTACGAACTGCTCTGTTCATCTAGACAGTGGACTGCATCAACAGAGCAGTTCTTGTCCTGCGAATCAGAAAAGCATAAAAGCAACAATGCTTTTGTGAATCAGCCCGAGCTTTGAAGTGGCACTACATCCTGAGGTGCAAATGAACCTTTGATCCCAGTAACTATGGCACGCCTCCTACAGAGAGAGCGAGGACAATGATGATGGTGTTAGATGTATAATCACATTTCAATTAATAATGCAAGACTATGCTTAAACACGACGTGGTTGTAGTCCTCTGTAACAGATTTATCACTGCGCGTGTGTTTGCGTGCATGCATGTGTGTGGAGTGACAGTTAAAGTTAACAAACATTTGTCAATGGCAATGTCAGTCACAATTAGGTCACTCATTCCAGGACATAAATGGACCATTAGTTATATATATATATATATATATATATATATGTGTGTGTGTGTGTGTGTGTGTGTGTGTGTGTATATTGTTTATAAATACATCACATACAATCACCTATTCATGTATTTGTTTTTCTATAGTTTAGTATTATAGTGCAGTGTATTTATTGACAGTATACAGTGTAATGTTTAAGTATAACATTCCATCTGTCTTGGTAGTAATAAGTTGGAGACAGGAATGTTTTTAAGAATAACAGAAAGTAGGAGTTTGTAGAAGAAAAATCATGAAAATAGAGTCCAACACAGACCCAGTGGTTTTGTTCTTTTTTAATGCAGCCCAGCTGTAACAGAAAAATGCAGTCTTTGGAGTCAAACTGTTAGATGGTAATATTTGCCTCTGAGTATGGTCAAAATAACATGGCAAGTGCTATGCAACATGGACCAAGGTCTACCTAGGCACTATTGTGCAGGTAGTTTTTAAAGAGTAATAAAACCTACAGTGATGGCAGTCAAACACCACACTGTCAGCGATGTATTCCAGTGCAGTTCAGTTTTAAGAGCCCTTAGATTCTAACAGGCTACAGCAGTTTTCTGGTCTCTGCTGCTTCCCCTGTGGGTTTCGTTCCTGAGGTACATCACTGAGCTGGTCCCTCGGGGCAGCAGTCCTCATGGATGACTCCCTGTAACAAAGTTTTCTCAGCCTTCTACAGCTGAGGCGCGACTAGTAGTGGGAACTACTCGCCTGCATAAAAGCAGCAGATAGAAACACATGGTATGTGACTGCACTCACTGACTGTTTGTTCGTACATACTTTTTTAGTTTTGGAATTCATGTTGCATCACACCTGTTAATGTTAATCTGCAAACGTTGGGGAAAAAAATGACCACAACCCTTTTTGCCTTACCATGTTGTGTTTACAACAAGGAGGAAAACGTGGGAGTTAATTTTTTTTGACCGAGTATTTGTTGACTGTTAACATTATCTATCTATCCATCTGTCTGACTGTCTGTCTGACTGTCTGTCTGACAGTCTGTCGGACGGTCTGACGGTCTGTCTGTCTGACAGTCTGTCGGACGGTCTGACGGTCTGTCTGTCTGACAGTCTGTCGGACGGTCTGACGGTCTGTCTGTCTGACAGTCTGTCGGACGGTCTGACGGTCTGTCTGTCTGACAGTCTGTCTGACTGTCTGTCTATCTGTCTGACTGTCTGTCTGTCTGACAGACAGTCTGTCTGTCTGTCTGTCTGACTGTCTGACTGTCTGTCTGTCTGTCTGACCGTCTGTCTGTCTGACTGTCTGACTGTCTGTCTGTCTGTCTGTCTGACAGTCTGTCTGACAGTCTGTTTGTCTGTCTGTCTGTCTCACAGTTTAAATGAAGCGTCAGTTTATGCAAACAGGCTTTTGTCTCTGTCATAATATTGGCTGTGGGCAAACAGTGCTTGCGTGCGTGTCGATGTAATGGACGTCTCACATGAGAACAATATGAGCACTGTGCAGTGGATGTGGCGAGTACCAGTTGCATGTGTAAACAACACACCAGTGCTGCATGATGTGCTCAACTGTTTAATAAAACCCAAAAGCCTTACTGTGTGTACGTGTGTGAGTACACGTGAGGGTGTGTGCATTTGTATGTGTGTGAGAGAGAGACTGAGAGAGAAGTCTTAATTAGCATGACATTTTGTCTGGAGATGTTTGATTCCTATATAGCATTTTGGAAAATTGTGGGGGAAAAAACTGCCAATGTGTTAGACTTGTACCGTTGTGTATATGTGAAGAATGTTGCCTATAGTGTTCTTATGCTGTCAGTGAAGTGCCAATTATGCATTTATCGTACAAATGAGGAATGTTGATCAAAGGTATTGGGTGCCTGTGTTCTCAACACTAATGAAGCCCAGGAGACTAAATGGAAATGTCAGAAATAAATATCTAAGACAGGAGGCAACGAGGAACGTAGAGATTAAAGAGAGTAAAAAGAAAACTAATTTCACGGTAATATCTATTTCCTATTTGTGCTATGGTAATGTCAGGGTGGGGGGTTGAGGTGGGGGGTGGAGGGGGGGGGGTTCTACAATGATACCAAAGGAATGAAACACTGAGGAATGCAACAACCTGCCTCCATCTTTAGGAGAGGATAGTGTGTCACAGGTTGGCGGGAGAGAGAAAATTGAGAAGGACATTATTAAGTGAGATTCCTCACATTATGTTCTGTGCACGCTTTCCAGCAGGAAGTGTGCATGGCTCGCTTGTAGCACCGCTGTTGATGCTCTGTGTGTATTTTCCCCTGTAGACAAGAACACTGCTGGTTGGTCGATGTGGAAGTTGGTGAGCTGTCGTTGTAAACCCAGCATCCTTGTGTGCAAACGTACAGTGCCTGCATGTAGAGTCATTAGGGTTTTCTACTTGAATCCTGTGATTCCCAGACCTTTTTGAGGTTCGTACTAGTGTGACTTCTATGATATCGGTATCCAAACTTCTGTGAATTATACATGTGAAGTGGTGAGTTACCTTGTTTAATAATTGTAGATGAAGTTTTTGCTGCTGACAAAGTTTTCTTTTTTACAGTAATAATAATAATATTAATGATAATAACAGTCATACAGCTAAACTGTGGCTTCTGTGTTCTGCAAACTCCTCCTTTGTAAGTAATTGCTTCGACTGTTTTCATGTGGCTTATCTATTAATAGAAGTGAATAAAAGGGTGGAAGATAATTAACAGTTATCTGAACATTTGGTCTCTTCAGGCTGTGAAATGCTTCAATCAGTCATAAAAAATATTTTTTCTCTATACACCTTCCTTTGTTAGTTCTAATCCACAGTTATTCTAGTTGTTTAGGTGGTCGAACATGACATTTATGTTTGCTTTTTCTGCCACCTACCTGGTGAAAACATGTTGTTTTCTATCATCTCTGCCATTCACAGAGAACTGCGTATCAGCCTTACCCCAAAACAGGGTTTCAATAAATTCTGTGTTTTTACTACTGTTGTGGTAGAATTTGAGCTGAGTTTTCTCCTACCTGCTCATTCTTCTACCAAAACACAGAGCTGGACGAGATCCAGTCATGAAATCACTAGTTGAATTGGAGTGCAAAACAGCCCCGCCGTATTGGTGTAGACATTTCATAGTCCCCAATGGAAAATTATACAAAATTATATATTTCCTCCTGTTATAATGGCTGTATGCGTCCCAAAAAGCCTCACGCTAAAACTCTACTGTGGTTGAGGGGTGGTAACAAACAGGCTTTACAGTTTATAGTTTAGAATCTTCTAATGATTAATTTATTATATATATAATAAAAAAATATATATTATTATCGAAACTATAAACATTTCAAGGAAATGAACAAGCTAAGCTAAGGCTTTAGCTGGAGCGTTGTTAATGTGCACTTAAACAGTCTGACTGAACACCAGACCAGGGTCACTTCTTAGTCAATCGTCCGTCCATTTGTCTCTTTTAACGTGACAATGACTGGAGGTGAAAGCACTTATTTCAGTGACCGTGCTGCTGCTGCTGTATGAAGTCCTAAAAAAAGACTTTATATTATATCTCACCTGGCAGCAGAACACATTAATGATGACCCTGCTGCCACCGTGCTGGCCTGGCCTGCACAATCTCCACTGTAATGCTGGGCTACAATGATAGTGTTTCCATAGCAACCCAGGGGTCATTTTCCACACGCGTGTGAGGAGCATCAGGTGGTCAGTGTTGCAGAATAGATGGTGTTTGAGCGTCTGAAGTCAGGTGAAGCATGCTGGGAATGTGCGCAATTAACTTCAGGTAGGGCGGGTCTGGTACGGAAACCAGCGTCTCCTCGAGCTGCTGTAATTCATCATGAAACCTTGTTACATTCTTGGTGTCCACACTCCTCATAGGGTGGACTATATTTGTAAAGGTATCCCAGGAACCCTTGCTCCTGTGGAAAACTGTAGTTATTTCCTACTTCAGCAAACACATGGCACCGTTCCATTTCGTCAAATAAATGCACTCGTCGATGTTTCCGCAGCTGCTAACGATGTTTGGTGAATTAAAAATTAACCACTTAATAAATAAGAAAAAAGTTCATTGTTCCATTTCAGGATGACATTAGCTTCCATTTGAATTAATCAGAATAAAATCATGCTTAGCCAAGGTGAGTTTAAAAAATGTCGCGTCCGCGTCACGGGGTAAAAAGGCAGGTTTTGAACTATAATAAATTCTATTTTAAAAATAATGATATGTTAATTTGCAGTGAAATGTTCAGCAGCAACTGCGAAAAGCTCCTGCAGTGCAGATGTCAATCACCAAGCTTTATTTAACGCCGTCTCTGACGCTGTGAAGTTGTGATGGAGTTCAGCTGCACAGAAAAACAGCAGCTTCAGGCAGCGAGAGGAGGAAACACACGGCTTTTTAAAGTTGAATCAGGACGTGGCCTCTGTGGCAGCAGATAATTCTGTGGCTTTCTTGTTAAAGGGGAAAAAAGAGTTCCCTACTTGACTTGATGTTGTTCAGACCTGATGAGAGACTGGCAGTTGAACAGCTCTCCTCACCCCGTCTACATGACGGCGTTGGTCAATTCAAGCAATTGCTTCCATTCCCTTTTATCTAGTTTATTGCTTTCCGCTGGAAAATAAAAGTGGCGACCCATTTTCTTTAATGAAAAAAAAAATCAATGCGTCTGTGTCTCAGAGACTGGAGTTTCCCTGTGATGTTATTTATAGAAGCAAATAATTGAAAGTAAATGTTTCATTTTTGTAACCTTAAGAGAAAGTTCAGGAAATGATTGCTGCACACACACACACACACACATACAGTATATACATTTGTAAAGGGTAAAAAAAATTACATATTATATTAAATTCAGTTTGTAATATAATAGTCTGTACATTTGATTTGATTATCAAACCAACCTTTATTGATGGCAGGAACCTTAAAACATTTATAAAATTCAAACAATGTAGTTAAACTAGTACGGTAGTAGTACAAAATGTAATACTAAGTTTTTTCATTTTTGGTTTTATTCTTTTTTCTTTCTTTTTTTGGGGGGGGGGTTCAGTTTGTTGACATTGTACATGTCGACCTGCTTCAAATCAGTCAAAACATGAGGAACTCTTCTGTGTTCTTTGAAGGTCACACTAGAGTTTTTAAATTGGATTCAGTCCAGAGCTCTGACTGACCTGTTCCACAGAGTCAATGTTCCCCTGATGAAGACGTGTTTCTGTTGATGTTGATTTGAATGTATGCTTTTCTTCGTTTTTTAAAACAAAACCTCCAGTTGACTCTTTTTGTGTCATACTAATTTAGATAAACTATTCAATGACATTTTCAAGTCAGTTTTCATTGTTTCACAAAGTTGATTGAAAAGGTTGATGAGGTTGATGGTGTGATCCTTACCTCAGTGAAATAGACGGGAGGGAGGGGACTAACGGCCAAGCTGTTCTCTCTGTTGGACAATCTGTCCCACTCCCTGCAGAACACAGCAGATCCCAGCAGTGAGCAGCCCCTTCAGTGACAGACTGACAACCCCCACAGTGGGCTTCCACAGGTTATTCCCCCCTGCTGCTCTCAGACTGTCAACGACTGTGACTGCTCTCAGTCCAGCAGCACCATTTCATGGTGACGGACAAACTGAGACAAACACTTTTATCTGTTCAATATTTTACACCAGTTTTAACATTATCTAATAATATTAAGCTCACACACACACACACACACACACA